GAGCTTGGGGCAGCTGTTGGGGGGCTCCGGGTCCTTGCCGCTTGGTGCTTGCTGCTGCCTCCCAGCCTGGTCCGGCGGTTTCTCAGCGATTGTGAGAAATGCAATTGGCACGAGCGACGGCGACGCAAAATGAAACTAAACTGAAGCAAAATAAAACGCCGTGCAGGTCACGGAGGTTATTTGACCATACTTCCCGACGCTGGTCAGGGCTGCGTTTGGTGAAGGCGAGGATGAGAAACACGGAATCGGAGTACGGTACACAATGGATTTTGCTGCTCTGCCATCTGCTGCCATTTCGTAGCCTGGCAGCTGGCCTACAACACCCTGTTCGTGCACAGTGGTGGCCCATCCAAGCATGTCCAGGCTCGAGGCTGCTTAGCTTCCAACGTCTGGATGGTATCGGATTCACTCATGGGGATTGGAGCAAAGGTCTGAGTGCAACATTTACATAAAATCCCACGCAATTCTCCATGGATCCCATTATAATTGCTGTAATTCTTATGGAATGTTACAAGTCGCCGTATTTAATTAATATTATTAATATATATAGCTGACCTATGAGAGTTTTCTTGAGGAAGGGCCCTCGGTCTACATGTGCGTACTAATTGCTTTCAAACAAGGCCCATTAATTAGCGCCGATGTTCATGTTCTCCCCGAGTCCGTGCCAAGCGACGGCTGCTCAGAAGTGAAATGAGCGGTGCGATCGTGACCCTCACTCCGCTCGCGTGGCTCCCCCTTACTCACCTCAACCCCCCTCACCCCTCGCGTGGCTCCCCCTCTACTCACTCAAGCCCTCACACCTCGCATGGCTCCCCCTCTACTCACCTCAACCCCCCTCACTCACCTCGCGTGGCCCCCCCTCTCCTCACCTCAAGCCCCTCACTCCACCTCGCATGGCTCCCCCTCGACTCACTCAATCCCCTCACTCCACCTCGCAAGGCCCCCCCTCTACTCACCTCAACCCCCCTCACTCCACCTCGCGTGGCACCCAATCTCCTCACCTCAACCCCCCTCACTCCACCTCGCAAGGCCCCCTCTACTACCTCAACCACCCTCACTCCACCTCGCGTGGCTCCCCCTCTACTCACCTCAACCCCCTCACTCCACCTCGCAAGGCCCCCCTCTACTCACCTCAACCCCCCTCACCACCTCGCGTGGCACCCAATCTCCTCACCTCAACCCCCCTCACTCCACCTCGCAAGGCCCCCCTCTACTCACCTCAACCACCCTCACTCCACCTCGCGTGGCCCCCCTCTACTCACCTCAACCCCCTCACTCCACCTCGCGTGGCTCCCCCTATCCTCACCTCAACCCCCCTCACTCCACCTCGCATGGCCCCCCTCTACTCACCTCAACCCCCCTCACTCCACCTCGCGTGGCCCCCCTCTACTCACCTCAACCCCCTCACTCCACCTCGCATGGCTCCCCCTCTACTCACCTCAACCCCCTCACTCCAACTCGGAAGGCCCCCCCTCTACTCACCTCAACCCCCTCACTCCACCTCGCGTGGCCCCCTCTACTCACCTCAACCCCCTCACTCCACGTCGCAAGGCCCCCCTCTACTCACCTCAACCCCCCTCACTCCACTCGCATGGCCCCCCCCTCCTCACCTCACCCCCCTCACTCCACCTCGCGTGGCCCCCCCTCTACTCACTCAACCCCCCTCACTCACCTCGCATGGCCCCCCTCTACTCACCTCAACCCCCCTCACTCCACCTCGCAAGGCTCTCCCTCTACTCACCTCAACCCCCTCACTCCACCTCGCATGGCCCCCCCCTCTACTCACCTCAACCCCCTCACTCCACCTCGCATGGCCCCCCCTTACTCACCTCAACCCTCAACTCCACCTCGCATGGCTCCCCCTCTACTCACCTCAACCCCCCTCACTCCAACGCGCAAGGCCCCCCTCTACTCACCTCAATCCCCCTCACTCCACCTCGCATGGCCCCCCCTCTCCTCACCTCAACCCCCCTCACTCCACCTCGCGTGGCCCCCCCTCTACTCACCTCAACCCCCCTCACTCCACCTCGCATGGCCCCCCCTCTATCACCTCAACCCCCCTCACTCCACCTCGCAAGGCCCCCCCTCTACTCACCTCAACCCCCTCACTCCACCTCGCAAGGCCCCCTCTACTCACCTCAACCCCCCTCACTCCACCTCACAGGCCCCCCTCTATCACCTCAACCCCCCTCCACCTCGCAGGCCCCCTCTACTCACCTCAACCCCCCTCACTCCACCTCGCATGCCCCCCCTCTACTCACCTCAACCCCCCTCACTCCGCCTCGCATGGCCCCCCCTCTACTCACCTCAACCCCCTCACTCCACCTCGCATGCCCCCCCCTCTACTCACCTCAACGCCCTCACTCCACCTCGCATGGCCCCCCCTCTCTCACCTAACCCCCCTCACTCCACCTCGCATGGCCCCCCCTCTCCTCACCTCAACCCCCCTCACTCCACCTCGCATGCCCCCCTCTACTCACCTCAACCCCCTCA